TTATTGGGTGGGTAGGGCTAGCAGGTATGACCTGTGGCTAAAATCTTCTTCTAAGCCCTTGCCCACTGCTTCATCTCAGCACCCAACAATCTTTGTTTATGTCTTACTGGTTTTCTACTTTGCCAGCATGGTCTTGAGCTCCTTGTCAGGAAGCCAAGCATAGGTAGAGGCATTGGGTGACTCAGGTGGAGGAGCTTCTGGGCCAGTAGAGAGTGCCCACCACAATATAGGCGCTAGCTTGATAACTTAAGATAGGGATTGCCCAAGCTAGGACCAGGGACCAGAGTTCAGCACCATAGAGTCCATCAATCCTGTGAGAGTAATATAGAGTACTCCAAACAGCTGGGTGGATGTGGTTTCAGCAGTGGTGGCGTTTTCTAACAGGTGGTTGAGTTGAGGGGTCAGAAGGGGCTCATTGGGTCAAAGTAAGCAGGCAGATAATTGTATTTGTCACAAAACAAGCTGGGCAGCCTAACGTACCACTTTCCTTCATGACTGATAGTTTTAGTGACTCTAGTTCTTGCCAGGGGGTAGGCAATAAGTATGTTTTCTAGGTTAAACTTGGATTAGGCAGGGTTTGGAGGATACTTGGTGAAATGCACAGGTCCAAAGGATGTTCCAGGGGATGGTATAGCGCTGGTAGTGGGGCCACATGATAGTCACTAGTAAGGGTGGGTGCATTGGTGTCTATAGTACTAGAGTGGAAGTAGAAAATTACTAAAACTAAATAGGGTAAAATTTTCTTGAACCAAAGGTTCATGAATCTTTATTATCAGAATGATGATACTGCCATCCTCATGCTGCTGGGTTTTTTATACCATCAATTTTTGCAGACTTTTGGTCTGTGGGCAATTTGCTGGCAGGGTGTTGGCAATAGGGCTGAGCTTCAAGGGTGGCGTTTTCTGGGTTGGCTGGCTCTGGTGAACAGAAGTGGTGATGCTTTGTTCTGTTACTTCTTTTCTCTACATTGCTTGAGTTGGCCAATTACATTGCTAATTTTACACTGGGAACAGGAAACAGCTGGTGCTTATTGGCAGGTTTTAAATTCATATTTTGGTTTAACCTTCTTTTGGCAAGTGGCAGCCTCTGTGTAGATCTGGATTCTGATGGCACACAATTGGCAGCAATCTGGTCTCCATTCAGGGAATTACCTTTACTAAGCCAGCGGGTTGTGAAGTAATTCATCAACTTGATTCTGTGACCCAGCAGGTTGGCAGTTCCCCGTCTATCCTGGTTGGTTAACGGTATTCCTTGAGAACCAGGGTTTGACTCCTGTGTTTTCAATACTATTATGGAAATGTCATTCTTGACACTCCTTCTGATAAGCATATATGCTGGCTATATTTTTTGATGCGGAGTGATAATTCACCACCACCAAGAATACAACCAGAAAACTTCTGGCAAATATGTACAATATTGTGCTGTGCTTGTACGTTTCAGTTTGGATGTGTTTTCCCCCAAAAATCTTGAATGCTTGCAGAAATCTTTGCTTGGGACAGGGATATTGATGCCATTCCAGGTTCTTATGACCCTCTCTTTGATGATATTGATGATGTTAAAGCCATAGGAATTGGTATCTACCAAGCTGGGCCCATTGAGAACTTAATATTTCACAATTATTGCAACAACCACAACATCATACACCAAGAAATTAGTTATTCTCTTATTGGTAAATATCCCATGGAGTTCTAATTGGAGGCGCGCTTGGATTAGGGCCATTTGTAGATCACACACTATGATAGCCAATACAAAGTGGTGTGTTATGTCCCTGTTGGCTGAGTTACAGGAATGTTGAGTATATACTTCTGGGAAGTATAATAAATGAGATAAAGGGGAAAATTAAGAAGAGAATGATACTTTATTGGATATGAATATAGGGTGTTATATAGTATCATGAGAAGCCACATGCTGTTCATGTATGTCATGGTAGTCATGGGGCTTATCTGAGTTATTATTCCTCTTAAGTCACAAGGCTTTTCCAAGTTGTGTTCCACTTAGGATTCAAAATGTTTGATCCCCATAATAGATGGCCAAATGATATTAGTGCCACTGACTTAATGATTAGTCTGGGAATCATTTGGTGAGTTGCTTGGAGAATTAATTCCCCAAGAGGGAGTAATTGTAGATGTTGTGACAGAAACCATATTGTTTTTGGGGGTAGGGGCCACATTTGGAGTATACTTGCAGGTTTTTGGCCACAGTGGACTTTGAAACCCCATTTTTGGTTGTGATTTCCCTCATGGACATAAGCATTCCCTGTTTATTGACCGTTTTCTGGACAATTTTGTGGGTTATGATCTTCCTCTTGTACCCTGCAGGCTGATTGGCTGAAAGAGGGATATGTTCATCTTGTGAACCAAAAGATGCCATATAATTTGCTATTACAGGATTTCCATTTCCCTGAGTGATATCCTGGCTTGATTGGCTACTGTTTGGTTTCAGTGCCAGAATGGGATTCTGGTTAGTGGCTGCCTTTGCATGATGTACAAGCAAGCCCATACTAGATGAAGCAGGAGAAATAATGTGCTCCTGTTTAGTGCTTGTGGAGGAGTCAGCAGGTTGGAAATTGCCACTGACTTGGACTTCATTGTTGGTAGACCCAAATACTCCTGCATGGTTGTGTCAAGCCCAGGAAACAGCTTGTTGACTTGGTTATTAAAAAAAAAGGACATGGTAATAATAATTTTCATTAAAAATAAACTCAATAAGAGGAGTTTAAATTTTATGGTTAAGTATATCTAATTTGATGGATATTGGGCATCCAAATTTTAGCCATCCTAAAATAAAATTGGTGATTGTTTGATTTGATTATATTTATCTATCTTTATATAGAACTCTAAAGCTTGCCGCTCTATCATCTATTTTACATTGGTGTTTAAATTTTCTCTATTTATTTTTTTGGCTGTAAATTGCTCTTTTAGCTGTATATATTGACATATTTAATTTATTTAATCATATTCTCCCAAAAATAGACACTAAGGATACTATATTTAATGTTTCTTCTCTAGACTATATCTCTTAATTAGGATGTACTGGTACCAGTGTGAAAAATTCACTAACTTGTTTTGATACTTAATATTTTTGTTGTTGGTTTCAGTTTTAGTAAGGGGTTTGGGAATGGATTGAGATTTTCACTTCTGCGCCTGGGTTTATTTAGGTTTTCAATCATTTAATAAACACATTAGCTTCATAATGTGACTGAAATCATTGTGTTTGTGCAATCAGTTGTATTTTTTCACTTCTAGATAGTTTTTTACTATGCATCTTTCATTACATCTGGGCATTTTAGCACATTTGTGTTCTTTTGTCAGGAATCAATTCCCTGACAACAGTTATCCAATAGATGAAGACTTATTCCAACTTCCAAATTTGGATGATCTAGGTTATTGCTGCTCAATTAATTGCCTATCAATTGTCCTCATGCCCTATAGCAATACAGATTTAAGTACAATCTTCCAGGAATTCAGCACCATAATGGATCTAAAAATAACCTGCACCATGATTACTGCCATTGCATGTGAAGCATTACACCTGATTTCAAACTCATTAAGTCTGTACTCCTAATTTCACCCCCTAGTATAAGATCTCATATCCAAATCCCAAGCTAATTGTTCAATCAATATTTATTTCTACAATAAATCAATCTTGCGCTATTATTCACTTGTGTGTTTAATAGTATCTCCTTAGAGCAGATGATTGGAATACCTCATTTGTGGTCCTTAGTTACCATATGGCTCTCATTATTCCTTTTTTGTACCCTGTCTCAGGGGCCAGCTACCTTGGCTTTCCTGTCCTTGCCCAAACCCTACCCTACAGCTTGAAGAGCTATCTTCTGTTTTATAGAGTAATAGGCCCTGGTTTGATGCCACAGCTGTATTATTCACTATAAAGAGGGTCCCTTACACCTTTTGTCCATGAAATAGGCTCATGTTTTACTAAAATAATCAGGGTTTTTGGGACTAACCTGCTTTTAGGCTAGTATATTTCTTATATTAATACATTATAAAGCTATTGTAACTGGTTTACAGGAAGTTTTTAGAGATTTTTTTATTCTGTTTGATGGAAATAAAGATCATAATTGCAAATATTTCAGTATGGTTCATCACAGCATGTGATGTCAACTTTGTGGTGTCTACAGCCTGTATGATGTTCTCTGCAGCCTTTGAGGCCAAAATTGAAAAAATTTGGACATCATTTGCAAGATAATCTGTTATTGAAATCTAGTCTTGGTTTTTTATCTCTTTTTTGTTCCTCTTTTTTTATTTGTCTGTACTCTTTCAATGCCTTTGCTAGGAGCATATCATCTTAGGATTCCAACTTTGGACTTATTGTTGGTTATCAATGCTTTTGGGGGTATCTCTCTTTTATCAATTCCTCTGGATTTTGAAGAGACACTGCCATGACAATTTCTAGGAGTGCTCTATACAGTAGTTTTCAAACCTGTCAAGATAATTGTATATTATTTAGTTTAGAATGCATGAACTCAGTCTAAAACAAAATCAAAGTGGATCCAAATCTATTGTAATTTAATATAAATTCCTTGATTTTTGATTTTGTTTTTAATCTGAGTTCATGCGTTCTAAACTGAATAATATACATTTATCTCAACAGGTTTAGAAACTACTGGATTACATTTATAGGACCTATAGGGTTCACACTTCTGGCCCTTGATCTTATACAGGGAAGATCTTATTTGGTCAGAATAGGATTCATCTCTTATGATCCATTTCTCTTTCTGATGTTACCCCACACACAGTAACCCAGCCAAAGAATCATGGTTTCCTGACACATTGATTAAGAAACTACTTTATAGGCTGTTGAATAGGAAATCAAGTACCGATACAACTAATCTGGAATAAGAGTGATTAAATTTATTTTATAAAAACAATACACATGGTAAATTAGGCCTCTGCTAAAAAATTTTAATCCAGAACCACTCCCATCTAAATATTTACCTAGGCTTTGGAAGATAAAAAGTCATGAATTATTTTAACAAAAGTTGGAGCTGCAGGGTTTCGATCCCCGTGCCTCCCGCATGCAAAGCGGGCGCTCTACCAATTGAGCTACAACCCCTTTTCTAAATTTGAAGAATACTTTACAGTTATTATAGCTTAATATTGACAGCTCTGATCCAAGGTATCAATATCGCCAGCTTTGTGTGGAAGAACAGGCATCTATGAAGTGTAAAATAATATGTATAACAATATTTGATTCAAACTATTTTATTTCAGGTATGATGTTTAAGCATGCAGTTCTATCTAGGGGTTTTAGGCTCATCTGTGGCTGGCTCCAGCTCTTGGCTGCTACAGCGAAAAGGAATTAAATTATATTTGAACAGTTTAAAATAAAATCTTTGATGGGAGTGACTTAGAGCCAGAAACTGGTTGCAGCTGCCCAGGGCTTGGCCGAAGAAGCCCTAAATCTATCCAAGTTGCCTTTTTTATATTTTCGATTGCTCTTTTTTAAGTTGGAGCTTCCACATCGGGATTTTTCGTGGTAACGTAGCTTGATAACGCTTGCGATTTTAGATAAAAATTTATTGATAACTCAGGGGTTCCTACACGATATATTCAGATTGCACAGCTAGAACCGTTCAATTAATTACATATATATGTCGAATTAGTTTTAATTTAATGATGTATGTATTTAAAGTATATTTAGCCAGCCATCTTTTGGGTATCTTTGCAATTATCGATGATCACCTTTCAAGATCTTCATAAACCGGGAAAGATCCCGGTTTCATGATTTAAGGCGATTCGAATGTAAATATTCGAGTAGTGACGTCATTAGAAGGAAGTGCTCAGATTTGACGATCAAGAACGAAAATCTGCTGGTGGCTGAAATAAGGACAGTACTTAAAGTACCACAAACATCAACTCACATATACATGAAGTTAAACACTTTTATTACAGCGTGGGTAATCCAAGGCCTCATTCAAGCAGAATTGGTATCTGAAAGTTCTCACAAGGAATCAAGAAAGCACACATCGAGATGGGAATACGAAAGAAGATCTCCCCTGTCAGAATCAAGATACACTTCTAGCTCCCACTACTCTTTCAAATCCTCAGCTAACCACCAAACACGTTTGACTCATGGAAAGCACCCAAAAAAGAAATATAATAAGTCTCAGAATCCTCCAAAGGTTCACAGTTCAAATAAGATTACATTGCCTCACAAAGTTGTGGTATCACCTATAAAGTCTCGTGAGATACAGAGAGCACACGTAAAACAAGAAATTCAAAATGAAAGTCCAAAGCCACCCACTGAGCCTCTCGAAGTCCAAAAAAGACGTCCATTTCCAAAAGATGAAGTATATACACCTCCCAAAGAAAACATACAGCCATCTGAATTCCAAGAGGAGTCTCAATTATCACAAAAGGAACATCGTGAGGTCCAAAAGGAAGGTCAAACACAATCGAAACCTCTTGAGGTATCTGAGGAACTTTCATCACCTCAAGAGGAAGAAGACCCCGACGAGAATGCTACACCACAAACAGAGTCTCAGTTCAAGCCATCTGACTATGCCATTATTGCAAAAGCACTCCAAGACCCCACTACACTCCGCAACCTCTTCATCAATGACACCATCACTTTCGACATTTCAGGTCTGAGCCTGGAGCGCCAAGCGTCAATCCAAAACATTTACAAGATGGTGGATGAAATCAAGTCAAAGTATCCTAACTATTCAGAAATAGAGAATCACCTAAAGGCACCCAGCAGCCATGGGATCAACTCAGTTTTAGACCCCCAAATCCAAAAGGCTAATGAGAACGATGATATAGAATCCCCAGACCAGGAGACCGAAGAGATCAGAGCTGAAGAACCGGAAATAGCTCCCACTGACCCCAAAGTCATCAACTTCCTTACAAATTACTTTAAAGACATCGATGCCGATCAAACTGTCGTCTTAACAAAGATCCAGGACCTTGCAGAACTAATTCAATATGAAAGAGCCAACCTTTAAAAAGTTATCAATAAAATAGAAGCCTAAATTTATCTCCTCTTTTATATTGGATGTCTTTTGATATGAACATACTTACTAGCCAATTACGTCACATCAGTTAGAAACGCCTTAAGTGACATATACATCTATAAAAAGTAAACCAAGGGATAAAGTTCTCGGTCTATAAATTGACAAATGTAGCTATCACAACATTCATGATCTTTGCGACTTAAGCACATGCCTCATCTTAATAGTTTTTTTTGGATCTGGGCCTTTCAGAGATTTTAAAAAGGGCAATTTGTATACTGTTTAGGTTGATTGCTACAGCCAGCTTTGAAAATGACCCATCTAGGGTTTATGGCCCCATGGTTTTAATCACATCACTTCAAAGGTGAGTTTTAGTTTGGTATTTATATTAGTTGCAGTGAAAACGTGGAGCCTTAGTAGGATTCCATGTTTTTACCACATCAACTATAAATGCTAAACTAAAACCACTTTTTATACTGATGTGATTGAGATCATGGGCCCTAAATCTATCCATCAAAGGATAAAAATCCAAATCAATTATTCAAAAGCGCATTTTAGCAATGTGGAAGAATCATGTATGTATAATCATTAATTTCAATACCCAGGTGGCAGATTGAATAGTTAAATATATCAATTCCATTGGTTTAGCTGCAACTTATTCCGAAGATGGAAATATGATCAAACAGCAAGCTTTTATTTGGCTACTGGGCTAAATAATAAATCCCAAGATATTCATCAGTTTTAAAAACTATAGCTTTTATATTGGTGATAATATTTTAAGTGCAAGCCATGAATTCGAAATTATTCTAATGAGTAGCATAGAAGAGTAATATCGACCCCAAAGGTATAAATGATATTAGCCCACCTTTGGCTCATTAAGATGATTAGCTTTTCAGAAAAAACGTCACTGCAGTCTTCAAAGCTGTGGCAACAAGAGAAATTAAGTCATCTGTAAGCGAATGAACTCAACTGAAAATTAAATCAATTCACCTCAAAGCAAAATCAATGAATTCATATTGATTGACAATAGATTTGGGCCCCCTTCTATTTTGTTCTAAACGGAGTTGATTTTTCCAGGCAAGTTCATTTTGCTTACCAATGACTTAATTTCTCGTCGCCACAGCTTGGAAGACCCTGTATTATCTTTGAAAGACTAATTAATAATATATTTTTAATTTGCCTTCTAATAGGTCCCCCAATTTGATGACATATTATAATACACAGCTAATACCTTCTAATTTTTCTTTCTCTTTTATTTTCACAGGGCTTTATATTATAAATTATCTCAAAATATTCTAAGAAATTTTCAAACATCATACATCAAAGTTGAAGTATCATATACTACATATGAAAATAACATATTACCCTCCTAATTTCCTATCTGCACGATAAAAATATTCTTCTATCATTAAGTAACAATGTTTTACCAATCGCTATATAATAGCACAAAAAACACAACACATTATTATCAAAAGCTCAAACTGGCGCTTGCTTTAAAAGAGCTACCAAAGCATAATTAGCTATACATCAATCTTTCTGCAATCTAAGGATAGCCAAACAAGCCTCAAACGCTTATATCATAATATAATAGGATAAATGATCTCAATAAACAGCCTTTAATTCTTTTCCCTCCCCTGGATTATTATCAAGATATATCTGCCATGGCCCATATCACTTGCTAGCTCTCAATATCTCAAAGGGATAGGATAATAAGGTGATTCCCAGTACATTATGGCCAACACATACATCATATAGATCACAGCAGTTTCCCAAGGGCAAATTGCTCTCATATGGGGATCACAATATAAAAAACATATAAAAGGACATATATGTAAACCTGTACTTGCTATAATAATGATGATGGGGTGCCAAAGTAAAGAGATCATCCCTGAGAGAACTGTCAGCTTCAACCAGTATAACACAACCTGGGATGATCTAGTAGACAGGAAAAGGAGAGAAAATTTAGTGTTTATTTGAGGAGAAACTGAGAAGAGATGAACTTTAATTTATGGATAGATCCATGGTGAGAATCTTATGGCAATATATAGATAGGTTAATATCATTAATTAGAGGAGAAGGTGAGCTTAAAGATTAAGTGATGAAGTGTTCAATTTCAGTCTGGTTATCAGGATTCTGGGATATTGACTAATTAACAGATTCAACCAATTAACATGGGCCAGCTATCAATCACTCTTAGGAAGAGGTTCAATAGAATAATGTGGACCGCAGGCTGAGGATCTATGAATCAATGACCAAATCATATTCTGGTATTAACAAATTCATGCATTGCAATTAATTAATGGAACATGCAATTACTGCTCATTAATTAGTCCACCTCAACAACCACCTCAAACATGCTTCTCATAATAATTACTATTCTAATATTCAATTATATCCTAGAATAAGCGCCATCACATGGGCTGTCATTTGAAACACTTCTAGAAGAGTCCCAAAATGGACTGGGCCATCAGGCTAAACACTCTAAGATAAAAAGGCTTGAGCCTATTGTATTAGAGTAGCTCTGATTAAGTGAAACAATCATCTCTGTAAACTAGTAGCCATCACTGGCTAGCTAGCCTTGGAAGTGGCCCAGGTAGACAGAAAGGATACCAATCTGTGGAAGATGTCAATTTAGCCTTCTGTTAAAACCACCCCAAAAAGGCCAGGCCTCCTGCTGTGTTGCCCTAATGCTACTTCAGTCTCTTCTAGCGTTGTGAGCTAACTCAGATGACACATGTGTAGGCGGGCCGCCTTAGAGCCAGTCCATTAGAATAAAAGACTGATGATTCTGTCATGCCCTGCCCCAAAGGGCAGGCTCTTTAAATTTATTATCTATGTGTTTTTGATTGATTTATAATTCAGTATTTTCTAAATATTGAAGTTTTGAATTGAAAGTTAATATATAAGTATTTTAAGTTAATTACCTTGTTTTTCTCTTTGATTTGCGTTTGAATTGACATGGTTGTTGTCTACTGTTTTCTCAGCTATTCAATTAGCTTATATTCTCTACTTTAAGTTAGATGAATTTTAATTTTTTGCTTAACTTTTGAAACTCCTATTCACGTTGTTGCCGCTCTCCCCAGCCTCATTCTGCCTATCAAAC